GTGGGGAAGAAGAAGAAGAAGAAACAAGAAGGGGGGGAGGGGGAAGAGGAGGAAACAGGAAAAAGGGAGGCGGCGAATATGGAGGAACAAAAAAGAGTATCTCTTTTGCTTTTCTTTTTTTTTACTTATTTATTTTTATTCTTATTTTAATGATTCTTTTTATTTTAACTATTTTTGGTTCAAAATGTTTATAGTCATGCTCATTATTCGCGTGAATTATACCCACTTTGTCCAACTCAACCATTATTTTGCTACATGTATTTGGTCAACGGTAAAGAGGCTTAAAATATAAATTTTGAACAAATTAAAGTGTCTGGATAAAAAAAAGTAAAGTAAGAGAACCAACATGACAAAGTGATACAAGTACATGTGTCAACGGTGTCATTTAGGGCCTTCTGCCATAATAATTTTTTATATAAATATGTATCAACAGTGAGTATACACCAGTTGTCATAAAAGAATGAATAAATATACTAGTGCATTACGCTCATCAATTTAATTTCATTTTTATTTACCATAAATAGCTATACATGGCTGGTGATTGGTGAAGGTGGGGGAAGGGCATGCATAACGAAAGAAGGCGGCTTTTCTGAAAGTTACAATACATCTTTTATTGCCAAGACTTTTTTTTTTCTTTTGGTACTAAAGGTAAATATTATATATAACTAAACATGCGTATAGAGTAGCTCGTACGGATATTGCATCATATTAAAAACTACATTTCTTGTAGTAGCAATAGGCATAGAGCCAAGTAAATTAGGAGTAATATCAGATATTATATTACAAATACTAGGATTAGAGCTATCCCTACGTAATCCTCCAACACAGCTTGAAGTAAGACTATAGAGGTTCCTTCCATGTACTGTAGTTGTTTGCTCTTGACCATCATCTACATTCTATGGAATCAAACGGAACCTTGGCAGTCCTAACTTGTCATCTTCCAAAATTTGTTCAACAAAAGGTGGTGGGTTGTGCAAGACTTCTACATCATTGGTTCCTTCCAAAAGACTTCCAAAACTTGCTAATTTATCTGTTAATCTATTTTGTTTTCTGTACGCATGTGTTAGCTGCGGATCATGGAGCATCCCTAGTATGTGCCTGCAATCATGTGATAGATTAACAAATGTTAAATTATCATTGCATAGTATTGTAATTACCTCTTTGACATCAATTTCCACTTAAATTGGTATTAGATTATGAAGCTTAGTCAAAGTAAGTCCATGTAATAATGCATACATCTCAGTTGCCCACAACTACCTACCACCTTTAATAATGTAGTGGTATTAAGTCATAAATCAAACTAGACTTTTTCTTGCATTCCATTCAGGTTGTGTTTTTGCATGAGAACGCCAAATTAAAGTCCAAGGAAAATAAATTTATAACCAGCAGTCTAATTTGTATAAACTAATATAGTCAACTCGAGAAAAGGAAATTGAGAATTGACTCACGTTACCTGAATACGTGCTGCTTCTTGTTACTGACCATTTAAACACAATTTGCATTGAATAAATTCATTTAAAAAATTTTCATGATCAAATGGTAAAAATAACTCAATTAATCAATTTGTGGAGATGCTATTTGTATAGGTCCAAATTTGGACGACCACGACCACTACTGAGTACGGCGAGGGACGAGGCCCTTACGATACATCGTCCTTTGGTCGTGGTAAAGGGTGACGACCGACAACGATTAACGAACNAACACCCTCTCAGATTCTTCAGTTGTCCGCGACTGCCCTCTGCCGCGGTTCTGCCGTGATTCTGCCGCGGTCGCGGTTTTTGACCCGGTTTCGTTTGGAATTCGGAAAAACGTAAAACATGAAAGTTGTATCCTTTTGAGTTAGCTTTCCAACCATATATTGTAGAGCTCAAATGAAGTTCTAAGTAAAAAGTTATGTCTATTTTACTAGACAGTGCGCAATATGCCTCTTCGAGTTTTCGTTTTGTTGTTTTATCATCCGTTGATCCCCGAACGCGATCCCGGCTTAATTCCTTGAGCTCTTACTCAGACTTCAAAGCTCCAAACCGCTTAAATTCATTCCATAACATCTATATAACTCGAAATCACAATGGCAAGGCATAAAACACACAATTAGTGCAAAACAGTAGCGATTAAAGCGCAAACTCAACTAAAGTGCAGTAAATTAGAGTGTAATAATCGACTAAAATACGTAATTATAACCTATCATCACGAACGCACAACATTTGCAGTAGTGTAGGCGTAGTAGGAGACAATAGAAATATGCTTTTCGAATATTTTTTATGTCATACCTTTTAGGGTTCAAAGTCCCTTATAAATAGAGGGGGGAACTTTATATAAAGGGGACCGAAAAGTAAATACGAAAAAGACAACTTTGCTTACTATAGATTTGAAATCTATACATCATCCTTTATCTCGGTCAATTGTATTCATTGCTGGAGGCTTCTACTTTTGAAGTTATTCACATTTATGAGTAATCATTTGGTTCCAACATACCAGGAAGCATCATTCATCTTATTTTTTTTTCTTGTATTATTTAATCTAAATTTAATTATACTTGGCTGAGATTTACCTCTTCATCTCCATTAGTTGATTTAATCAAAAATGTTTCAATATCTTTTGGTCAAACGCTATTGGTAATCACACTTCCGCTAATTAGTAGGGAAGATTTTTAAAAAAGTAATCGAGAACATACTTAATGTCAGCCTTCTTTATAATTTTTATCTACACGTAAACTTGTTTGACAAAAAATTATTGATTTTGGCTCAACCAATTAGATTTGTATGAAGAAGAGTTAATCTTAATTAAAAATAATACCCGAAAGATAAAGCTACGTGTGTCAAGACCAAATAACTAGTATATTTATCCAAATTGCGATGATTTTACGCAAAAATAACGATATTCAGTGACCCAAAAAGGTGAAGTATGGCATTCAATAGCGATATATAAATAACAGTAAAAGGCATGCATGTAAATAAAACGTATGATTCACCCAAAAAGAGATAAGATCAATGGGTATTCTTTTTGACAATGATAAATGATTGAAAAACCTTTAAATATTTGAGTTGTTCTTGGATCCAGCGGGAATGCTATGCTAGAATCTTGATAAAAATGTTGTTTTTGTATATTTGCAATAAGACCAGATTCTCTCTTTCAAAGTCAATGTGTTCTTTACAACAAAATATCTCATGTCCCCTATCATTGTGTTTCTTTCTATTTATAGGCAACATGTCCCTAAAAACACTATTAATACAAGTGATGAGAATATTCACTAGAATATTTACTTTAATATCTTATCTTGAAACTAGTAGTTTTAACTCTATCAAGGGTGTTCGGCCTCGATCTTTAATAACTCTTCGACCTTAATCCTTGCTGACTCTTCGACCGTAGCCTTCATTGTTCCTTGAACCACTTCGACACATGGCGACCAGTGAATGTCTCGCTAATGCTTTCATGGCTTAGGCATTTTAGAGATAAATTTTGACCTATATAAAAGTGAGGTGTGTGGATTGTGGCCTACAAAGTTTTGTTTGGGAATTAGATTTAAAAATAACCAATTGTAATAATAATCTATTAAAACCTAAAAGCAAAAGGCAATAAAATATAACTAACTTTTAAATCGAAGTATCCCTGCATTGTGCCTCAATGTTGTCACTTTAACTTAACAGTAAGGTATTTATAATTCCTGTCACAAAATTTTTTTGTAACACACACAAAAAAAAAAG